TAGTCACAAATGCTTGTCGCCAGTCCTGGCCTCGACAGTCCAAGCCGGTTTCCCAGGAATAACGATTCACCTTGTTTCCACCTGTTCAACCTGTCTAGCCACTTTGGGCCATGGCCTCGCTATTGACTCACAGGCCTCTAACCTCTAACCCATATTTCCCGACAAAGGAAAACCTACAGGGGATCGACTGAACTCTTGGGTGCTTGGGGCCGAAGCCATGGTAGTGAAAGTCTCAAAGTGAGGAACATCAGAGGTTCTTCAAGTCTCCTACCAAACATACCATAACTATGTATTGGGTCTATCCTAATACTTGTAACCGTGGATGATGATGGTTAGTAAAGGCCTTGTTCAAAAACATATGATAATTGTTTACTGACTGTTACAGGTAATAGGACAGACCCCAACTATGTATATAATGTTATCATTTGTATTCGCCCTTTAGGACAATCAAACATTGGCAAAAGGCAAAACGGAAGAATCAAAGACAACACATACACATCACAAGGATGCAAGTGGAATGCACACCCTTACACAACATTTACAGTATTCTCATTTTCGAGACTTGTGTTTACTTGATAGGTATCCTTTGGGGAGTTGACAACGCCCAAATCAAACTACTACCCAAAACAGAGTCAGTTCGCCTCACTGGTCTTCGAAGGTCCAATGGTCTATACCGACAGTGGCAGCACATCCATCTCGATGGGATCATCGGATCATCTGTCCCATGTTGTCCCACACTCAACGTCTATAACCGACATGTTCCAAAAGTTAAGGTGTCCCACACTCGGTTCCCACACCTGACAAACACTTGCAACTAATTAATCCAACAGTATGATTGAAGCAGTTGTGTTCCGGAACCCACGGGTTCCCGTCATCTAGAATCATGCAATGTTCCCCCTCATGAGGTTACAACACATACAAAAACCTCTCACCCTAAGAACTCTTGGGCCCTCCATGGCAGGGTTCGGACCCGACACCGAACGCAGGGTCCGGACCCGAACCATACCCCTTCCATTTGATGGCCCGTATTCTTAGGACAGTTGGAAGGTCTTGGCTGAGCGGCCGCCGCATGCGGTGCCTTCGAGCCTCACGGACGAAGGCAGAAGTCTGGCTGACGTGAAATTGGCCAGAAGAAACAACATGGTAGAATGGGGAATTGAGTGTGGAACCTAAAGACAACGTTCGACTAAAGAGTGCTTATTTTTTCAAATTAGTCATACTTGTTCTGGTTGAACATTGTCTTAGCATAGAAATTGGCTGCTCAGGGGGGCAAAAAGGTGATAGTTTTTAGGTCTTAAACATGCACTCTCCCACGAACTAACCCACTGGAAACACGTTTGTGGAAGAACACCCACATTGCGCTGCCTCGGTTCACACAAGGACACCACACTGAACAGTGGGACTTGGACATGCAACACATCAACGTGCCTCTACCAAGAGGAAAAACCACATGCACACCGCACTGAACAAATGGACTGGTAAAACTCTTTGCGTTTCGGATATGGGCTGGCCTCTCAACAGAACGGTCAGATAGAACATCCGCCAGTCAACTCCACAATCATCTTCTCAACGATACTTTCTATTTGGTACTTGTGGAAGGGGAGGTGAGGAGAGGAAGACGGGGAGGAGGAAGGCGTACATCTCTGCTAAAATCTAACGGCCCTCACCTCACCTGGCAGTGGAAAAAGAATGGAACTAATATATATATATATATAATTAATTGAATCTATCCTATTACCTGTAACAGTGGCTGATGATGGATGGTTAGTAAAGGCCTTTTCCAAGAATAGTATTAGTATTAGTTGCTTACTGACTGCTACAGGTCATAGGACAGACCCCGACAGTATCATCCCTCATCTTATCCATCTTTTTCCTTTTGTATTTCATTTTACTTGTCCACTGCCAAACGGCCGTGGCTGACTCGTGTCCGCAAGTCGCGCTATTTGATTTTACTTCTAACCCATCACGAAATATAACAGCCAGACACCCCAAGTATGGCATGTTTACATAGTAGATTATCATAGATTGGGGTGGTTGAGAAGGGGTCAATGGGGCGGCATACTCCAGTCCCAAACAGGTCGTGTCTGGGATATGGTCCGTCTCTACTTTCCTTCACCGGACCGCACTGCTCGGCTCGACGCTCGGTTCGGCTCGACACCTCTGGAGTTTGCTCCCAGCCGGGCCTGGGCGGCGTGAGTTGGGGAACCCGGTGTGGTGAGCGGCGGAGCGGGTGGGGATGTCCGGAGATAGAGAGAGAGAGAGAGAAGAAAAAAGATCGGAGGCTCCTGCAGCAAATCAGGGCTTGGATGAATCCATCGCAGTCGTTTGTCTTCGCTCTCCGGCCTTGCTTTCAAGTTGTGGGAGTGACTGGCGTGTGTTGACAGTCCCAAACTCTAGCTTTTTGAGCCTATGATTTCGGCCAACGTTTGCTTGACCTTCTAAGTTCTTGTCGGCTGCTAGTGTCGGCTTTCCATAAATGACAACATAAAGATATATAAAGATGTATAAAGGTAAAACTTGCAAACGAACTCTGCTTTGTGGCCGTATGCCTTATGCTAGTGATGTGACTGTGGCCGCCGCGTCCTCCAATGAGCCTGCACTTTGGAGTCCATGATGGACAAGAACTTTGTAGCCGCTTGTGCCGCCGGCCTTCTGTGGCACGCCGAGGGTTGAAGATGTTTGGCTTCGTAGAGACAACTTCGCACAGAGTGCATTGGAAACGGAGCATCTGGTCATGGAAGACACGGATGTGATCAGGATCGAAAGAGGTTCGACAAAAGGCAATACATGTGGCAAATCTTGCTGATAGCAATGACATCATTGGACTGATTTGCAATGTCCGATCTTAAATAGTAAAAGGGCTCCTCCCTCCCTATCAAACAATCCAGGGTGTCTAGAATCAACACCCGAAGTATGTCTATTATTAGTAATAGTGGTCGTTGATATTTTCCTAGGGCAAGATAGTGTTTATTATTGCGAACCCCTCAACAATTCCTACTATTCAATTCACTTCCCCTGGGTTTGTGCACTACCCAGTTGAACATTGTTTGGAGCAATGAATTCGTTGAGTTTAAATAAGCACTTTGGCAGGTCAGAATTCCATGAACCAAGCAAACCTCAGAAGACTTAAGTAAGGATTTTAAAGGGCAGCAATAGCAAAACAAAAGAAAAGTAAGAAACAACACAGAAAAAAAAAAAAAACATCAAACAACTGGGCGAAAACACAAAGCTATTTACAGTATGATTCCCACCCATTAAACTATTCAGGGTGTGGTTTTAATTGTTCTCTCCCAATATCGGCATTACGTTCAGAAGCCGTTGCGCGGTTTCGCTTCGTGAAACGCGTTTCGGTGGAGGTCGGGACCCCGTCGTGTCTGTTCGTTTGGGCACCGGAGTTTTGATGTACCGGTTTGGAGCGCATGGACCAAAAGGAACAAACGACACAGTCCAGCAGTCACAAAGGGGTGCGATCCATGGAGGTAGTCGGGGTGCCCAGCTACTCCACTCACTTAGGGACCAAACACCACCCCTTTGTGACTGCTGGGTTATGAGGAACGTCACGGCGAAGTTATGAACTAATTAGTGGTTGACAGACTTTCCTCATGAATGAAGAGGTTGTGACGCGGATCCTAGTTCCACCCGGGCCCAGCTTGAGGTTTGTCGACTGATTCTCTGGGGTCCACACAGTATTGGGCTCACAAATGGACGACTGACCCTCGGATGAGGGAGGAAAGGAATCCCAAAGGCACATACACAAGGGGAGAGGTGCGATCAGGAGGTGCGATCCATAAATTGTGGGTTCTCTTGTTGAATACCTGCCCACTGGTGTGGTACCACATCTGAGAACAACTGAAACCTTTTGGGGAAGCCCGCAGCGGATCCGAGCGCTTCGTCCTCTTCGATTGGCCGCTATGGGTCATGTGATATTGACGGAACCTTCTATGATCTCCCATGTCAGAAGAACCAGACTGTAACAATATATGACACGATATGACATGTAAGATTTACACGGGAAGTTCACATGTTTCACTGTGAAAGTTCTTCTTGCAAGCTGATGTTGCTTTGTCACCGGGGCGTCTCAGCATCACGTGATTGAACGGTAGAGGAAAACCAGTGCCATGGCAGGTCAGTTCCATGAGGCATGGCTATGCTCGGCTGTCACCAGCCACGCCTATATTACAATATAACATATTACATAAAGTTTGTTCTTCCTCTTTTGGGTTGCCCGATGTATGTTCCTCCCTCCGCAGTCCACGCAGCAAAACAAACCACACGCTTTTGGTACCATGGACCATCAGCATGGTTTGTAGCCCAGCACAGGCTTACTCGTCTTCGATTGCCAAGTCCTTCGGCTCAACTGTTTTTGGCCTACAGTAGGTGAGATTCTGTCGTAGTGCCGTAGTAGGGCAACTAAGGTGACCCCTTTGTGTCGGAGTCACAAAGGGCAAGGTAGTGCGCACCGAAAAAAATCGAACCGCACACCCAGGGGTGGGGAGCTTCACCTATGAGTCGGGAATATATAATTTTTGGTTTAAATTCTGAGTATGGCACGTCAATGCATATTCAATTGGCACATCTACTTGGCATCGCTTGGCTATCTTCAGAGCCTTTAAAACCACAAGAAGCCAAGAAGTGCAGGAGGGATCTGGGATCTGAACCCCTTTACCCTGCCTGGCCAGGAAAGACAGCGACAAGCACGGAAACGGAAAGTGCCTCATGTATGGCTGCGGGTCCTAGACCCCAAATATGTACAGAATGGACACCCTTCCGAAGGTCGACCCACCATTCATTCCGCAGCTCTGTCTTTCTCTCCAAAAAGGAGGCCAAACATCTGCCTCTTCATCAGTCGCCATTTGGCGGACTCTGATGATGAAGCTGGAGTAACTGCGCTGCCAAGTCGTGGGCAGCGACCGTATGCCGGTGTGCGGCTTCTCGTTCAGCCCTGAACCAATGTACCCTAGAATCAAAAGAAGACACCGCGTTCATGGACAGGTCGATTTTCGGAATGAACACATGCCTGAACACTTGCATGTGGCTATGTTTATCTATGCTTTACCGCCACGATCCACCCGGTGAAGTTTTTTCCAGTTTGACAATCACAGAATCGGACAACACAATAGGGAAATCACACAATGGGCACACCCCAAGCATGATGGCCCTCACTTCCTTGGCATCGGGCAAGCAAGCATTGAAATTCTCGTTGAGAGGGGAGAGAAACTATAGAAAATACAAACAGTTGCAAATGGATCGAACCATCGAATGCTTAGATATGATCGTCAATCATGTTTCACAGATTGGAACTTCCTCTGTGGTGGGGCACTTCAAAAGTGCGCTGCACTTTGTGCATGCTTGCAGATCTTGCAGCATGCTTTAGGAAGCGCATTCGACCGAACCCGACCGAACGTGAGAATCTGCCCCGAACAAGACGTGGATGGGTCAACCAAAACGAAATCGTATTGTACAGGCCGCCGACCCTAGAGACAACCCTTGCGTGAAACCTCGCAGGCGGGGAGAGTGCCCTTCACTGTCTTGTCCGTAAGACGGAGGATCCATCAGTCTTCAAAACAGGACAATAAACAGTCTTCACTAAGTGAAAGACCGGATGCTTAGCTTGTTTTTGGCGCTCCCAGAAAACTACCTGAAACAAAGAGCCGACTCTTTCCATCTCGGAGGGCCTTTCTTCTCACCCCAGCTTTCGCATTGCGTCTCAGCTAGGCTCCCCAACCGTGTGCTCGCAAGGCCTCTGGACAGGTTCGAAATGTCAGGTATAGTTTGTCTGTTTGTTAATTACTACTATATATATAAATTATATAAACATCTCATATACATCTCAAAAAAACTGTCTTCAGAAAAGAGGCTACCATCGTTCGCCGCTTTCCGCTCTCGCACTTTTCTTCTTCTCATGAAATCTCCGTGTGCCATGTCATGAAACCGGTGATCTCACAGGATTTTGCATGTTTCCATCCTCATCTTTTTCTGTAGGCATTTGCCTCAACCAATCCAACTAGCAACAAAGTGTATAATTAGTTCCAAGAGACTCCTGAAGCTGTCGCACGCGACGATGACAAACACCAGTTCTTCTAAGAGTCTAGGTTTTTCAACAAGTCGGTTGTTGTCGACATGAATTTGTACTGCATCCTGCGCTGCTTCCACCTCTGGAAGCATCTCCAAAAGCTCCTGGAGTTCTTTCCGAGCCAAGGCTTGCCGTGCCTGGCGCATCTCCGAGGCCCGAGGATGGTTAACTACTACCCACACTGAGCCGCAGCCTATCTGTGTCGCTGGGTCTCTTTGTAGCAGGTGTAGCATGGACGAAAAAATGTCTCCGACAAGAAGTTCAATTGTGGGGGGTATGTTCAGCTGCAAAGGAAAAACAACTCCCTTTGCAATACCACTCGGGCACACGATCTTCACAGGTGAGAAAGAAACACCTTCACCATGGCAAACTTGCAGATTCTTTTGTCAAGCTTCCCTTGGGGCAGAGTTATACATCATATCATTATCCCAAACATTCCCAAACGCTCCATATATTCCATATTTGCCTACATTGGGGTGGTTTGGGGGTCAATGTAGGCATATGTAGGCATATTTTCCAGTCCCATTGGTCGTGTCTGGGTCTGCCATCGAAACGACGAGAAGGATTGTAAGAAAGAATCCATTCCATTGATCCAACCATATCCAATCACCTTTTTTCGGAGATCACCTCCGAGAAAAACCCATCTCCTTTCGGCACCCTGACCATCCGGGCAGAGAGACCCTGACCGTCACCGCTGCGAGGTCCCGTCCCCGGTCGTCCACCCGCACGCGTCAGCGGAAGAATCGTCGAGAGAACGACTGGCGGACTGGTTCGCCTCGATGACCTCATGATGTTCCAAGATCGATCGAATCTTTTGCTGCCAGGCAGGAGGATCTGGGACATGGACCTGAGGTGGCATGCTGTGCCAGCTCTTTTGGGCAGACTGCACCGGTGCAGGTGTTGGCTTAGTTCTGGTGGTTTGTTGCACAAGTGACTGAAATGATGTGGAAGCCGTACATCCTTCGCAGCATGTGCAGTTTGTAATTATGAGATATTATGAGCTAGAACATGCGGTCGAACTTGTTCTTTCTGGCGGCTCGAGCCTTACCTTTAAACGTTAAACGGATGGTGCAGCAAAAAAGGCGTAATCTTCAAACAGGTCTGGCACCCCAAGCACGGTCCTTTCGGATCCTTACACCCGGAGCTGGGATCAACTCCTTTTCGGATCTTTTTGGGTGTCGAAACTGGTTTTGTTGATCAGTTCAAGGATCTTCTAGGTATGTGCTTCTACGATACATAGCATATCATAGCATCTTACAATCATGGATTTTCCTCACAGACTCATAGATGTCTTGGGTGGCGGGACAACCGCCGCTGAGGGGAGTGAAATCATCTGCTGAGCGGAGCGGCTGTTTGTTTGGCTAAACGGGGGGTGCCTCCGGATGGACATCCGGATGGACTTTGAATGATTTAGATGTTGATACACCAAGACCTAACAGCACCCTTGAAAGGTACTGAGGTACTAGTGAAGAGAGATACTGGCACCACCTCAAACTGACCACAAACAACATTACTGTAATATACTGTATAATAATATTGATATGAGTTGGTGCAGGATGTCTTCCTGCAACAGTCTGTAGGACCCTTGGTTGAGGATAGTTCTCTACCAGTATCAAGAATGATCATCCTCCGCCCATCATGATCTGTAGGGTCGACCACGTGCGCTTTTGCGGCCAGACATCCACACAACTGAACCCGATGCGGCCCGGTCACCATCTGACACCGGTCACCTTCGTTCACCGCACCCAACACCGATCCGCCGCGGTGAGGTCGACCCCAAGAGGTGGACCGACGAGGTCGGTTGCGCTCACTCTGACGGCGGGTTACCCGAAATCGGCAACACCCCGGCCTCCTCCGCAATGCTGGAAGGCAAGAAGATCCTCCCGGCACTTCTTCCAATGCCGTGTTTTGTTTGCATTGCATGCATTGCATGCAGTGAAGGAACTCTCAAGGAACTCACTCTCGTCGAACTCTTCCATCAGTGCTACGTAAGAGATCTCTGCAACGAAACCATTCAACCAAAGCACGGCAGGGCTCTCCGACGTGGACCGCTCCCACTACGTGGTGGGCGGAAACCCGAAGCGGACTCCCAGAACGGTGGGACGCGGTGGGACTGGCATTGGACCGCCGAAACGGCCCATGCCAGTCGTGATGAATTGGGGGGGGGGGTGGAAAAAAAGGGTCCGGACTGACTGGTCAGACTCCGGAAACCTATCCTTTTTGATTACCAGTCTGATCCAGTCGGACTCCGGACTGCCATCTTCGACAAAGACTCGCTGGGACTCGTCCACAGGAACAGGACGGTCCAAGGGACCGGCTGAAAACGGTGGCTGACAACGGGAACCGTGAACGGTGGCTTGGGCGTGGTACATGTGCGCTGGTAACCTGGGTGGAAGTACTGAAAAATGATCTTCAAAAGTGGAAGTTGGAGCACCACTTCGTGTCCAGAACTTCACAGAACGGAAGTTCTAAGAAATTGGCACCTTGCTAGCTGCTAGCAGAAATGGTCTGATGCAGTCTACCAAAAACTCAACGCCCCAAAGATATGTCAATGCTGGCCAGCTCCAATGCCAACTGCACCCATTGAATCCAAGATCCCATGAACGGAGGTTCCTCCAAGTCCCCAGGTTCCCCAGGAGATGATCTTCCAACTCAGGAATTGGTCCAACCAATGTCATTCTGGTGTAGTCCTGGAGCTGGTGCCATCTGGTGTGGTGTCACCTAGACTGACGCACGCAGGCCCGGGCCGACGGACTCCATCAACCAGAAGGTGGGACTGGGTGTATCTTGTTCCCGGGGCCCAGTGGATGATGATGCTTAGGAAAGGATGTATTCAAAAATAAATAGTGAGAACTATTTACCAACTGTTACAGGCAATAGGACACCCCCAAAATATGTTCACACATTGACTATTAAAACCACCCCAATGTAAGTAGATATGACTCGTGTGTTCCCACTGGCGTTCCTCCCAAAAAGCTGGTGAAAAGCTCGTGAAAAGGAGAACCACATCCGGGGCCGTGATGTTGTATTCAATTATGTTTCATTGTGTTGTTCTTTTAATACTGTTATTTTTTTGGGGCAAGGATTTCGGGAGGAGAACACTACTGGCCATCATGATTCTTAATGGTGCTTAGTGGAGTATGATAAGTCTGGACCTGATGAAGGATGACTGTTCCCTGAAACGATATGATATATATATATATTCTCTTTAGTTATACACATACAAATCTGATTGAAGCGCAAATAGTAGTATTCAAAAGTTGTTGAACCAAATTTGAAGACGTTGTTGTGTTTGATCAGATTCGCTCTGCCGGGCCCATCCTGTCCTATAAGTGTTTTCACATTCAGCTTTTCATGGTATTCGGCATGTCCAGCGGAATGTTCCTGCCCATTCACCAAAAGTTCAAACAGAACCCAAGAGCAGTGAAGTGGCAAAGTCCAGGACCAAAGACTTGTGGCCCATTCTCTTTGTATTAAGGAAACACTGCTAACAGTGCTGCGTGTCCAAGCTGAAATTAGATGCATACAGTATGAGGTGTTCGGAGTCGCTTCCACTTTAGGCTCTGGCGTGACAGCGAGATGGTGCCCAATGATGTCGAGATGCCATCCAAGGTGTTGCCTGGTCGCAAATGACCGAAGAAACGACCCCAAAGGTGCTGTCTCGGGAACAGCTCCGGACAGCTCTGTCTTCAAAAGGGGGAAAATGGATACCCAAATCCTAGCCGTCGCTCCTTCCTCCAGCAACCTCTTGGTTGAAGGCCCGTGCTTCTTTGTTTTCGTGCGCCGAGGCGCGGCGCAACACAAGTGGTCTGAGTTTTTCAGTCAAGTACTGGTTGAAGGAAACCAATCGATCCCCATGGTAAAGGTTTGGACGACTCGTGGGACTCACCTTGTCAAGTTTGATGTTTCACCAACAAAACGATGGAAAACACACAGCGAAACACAACGCGTTGTCGTTGGTGGAAAAACCCTCGTCGTCCAGGAGTCCAGGGACTATGGTATACAATGGTCCACGACTCCACGAGTAGGTGAGGAGAGAGAGAGAGAGAGAGAGAGTGTATCTGTTTCTATGAGTTGTGCAAACCAAGCTGATTCTTGACACAGTGCAGGTAGGAAATAGCTGACATAGCTAGGTGCTAGGCATATCATCATATATCATCCTTGATTTGCATGCCGAATTGGAGTCCCTACATCGCGTTGACTGGTCCTGAAGTCAACAAGTCGCGCTGGTGCGGGCACATCTCGGCCGAGTTCCTGCGTCGATAAAGCACCCGCTTGCGATCAAGCGCCGACGTGCACGGCGTGCGATAAAGAAAAGGATGGGTTCAACAAGAGCTTTAAAGTTAACATAAAGTGTTCACTTTAGCTAACCCAGTTTGAATGGGACAGATCAGAGACACCTACACCGACATCAAACATCGACACATGCAGCACATCTATTTGGGGTATCTCATGAGACCAATTTCAGCCACCTGAAGGGGAGACGCCCCCCGAGTGACAAGGGCAGACCTCCAAAAACCTATCCTGAGATCTTCTGCTAAGGGTTTCACCTTTAGAGATCTTTAGAGACCTTTAGGGGTTTAGTAAGTTGTAAATCCCCTATGAACCAAAGGGACCAAGATAACTCATTAAGAGTACCGGTCAGGGAGGTCCACCCCGACGACTACGAAGACCAACAGGACACGCCTGAACCGCGGACGGGTCGAGGGTTCGGTCGGCCTGGACGAATCGTGGAGAAGGTCTCGGCTGCTGGACCTGAAGATCGGTCTCCGCTCCAGGCGTAAGACGACCGGACTGGTAGGGACCGACCGGCAGGTCCTGAAAGCGAACAGGGAACATCGGACGGTGTCAGTGACCAGCTATAAAACGTGGCAGGACAATCGTCCAAGTGTTTGGTCTTCGAAGTCCAATTCGAATCGTGGGTCTTCCAAAACGCGACATACGCCACTCTCCGCGCGACAAAGACCAGACGCGACTCGTGCCACATGTGGCAAGTCTCAGCCAAGCTTCTGTAACTCAGCCCTACTCAGTCTCTCCCTACTAAGTCACATAGCAGCCAACATGCGGGTCCCGGAATCATGGTCCACACCGGCCTCCATGAATTGCTAGAACCATGGTTTCATGTAGGTGCCCTTATGAGTTGCTTCGGTGTTACACTCTGTTTCTAAGAACATTTCCATGACTCGGGTCCAAACAAATTCAAACAATTCCACCCTCATCAAAGCTGCCGAAAGAAAATGGCATGTTCTCCTCCAGGCTGTGTAGAAGACTGGAAGACTGCAGGTTCTTTTGTTAAACTTGCACGTTTGTTGAACTTGCCCGCCCAAAGCAGAGTATTATGTCTGACACAATCTGACACACTTAGAATATCATCAAGGATCACAATTCTCATTTTGGGTGTACACGGAAATACATCCTGTTACACACACTGCAACAGCATCTAGTGCAACCAACACTTCTGACAGCAGTCTCCATTGTGCAGATTGGTTGTTACATGTTGTTGGTCTTTGAGTCGTGACGTTTGGAGGCTGTAAATGTGCAGCACAAAGAGACAGCTGCATGTCCTAAAGAATCTGCTCAGAAGCTTCATAGGCTTGTTCTCCATGTTACTTTGACATACTTGGCTCTAAACACCAACAGCTTCATTCGCAAGACTTCACGATCTTGAAGTAAACTTCCATTTTTGGAAAACACAAATAGACACACCAGTGGTGGGACACCTTTCCTTCCGGTTGGTCCCGATGTCCCGACTCGGAGCACGTTTGCGGCGTTTGCGGCCTCCAAGGGTTCGGTTCGGCCTCGGGTCTCCGCGAGTCGCTGGAACAGTGGAGCCCACATTTGGACCCTGAGTGGTTTTCAAGATCCTCATGAGGTGTAGGGAGGTGTAGGGAGGTGTAGGCGACAAGCTGTTCTGGCGGCATGGTGAATGACAGCGACAAGCTTCCTTTCGTTGAAATCCTGTTGTTTTGAATTCCGTTGATGCTTCCTTGGATCGGTTTTGAGCTGACTTCAACTCCTTTGCTGTCCTGGTCCTTTGTCGGCTTCTTTTTTGGATCGTACCCTCGATATAATTCTGTCTGATTCCGGTGAACTCCTTGCATTCCCGAACTGCTTTCGCTCTTTTTCCAAAAGGGACGCCTGTGATTTTTGAAGGGGGAACCCATCGTGGTAACCCTCCCGGAGGAGCCTTTGCAGGAAGATTGGTAGAGATTAGCGTCTTTGAGAACCATTCAGAGAATTCAAAGCATGTTTTAAACTATTCATGAATGTCTTTTCCAAGGCCTTGTAGACCTTGGGAGGTATTATATTGTAATATATATATATATATATATCAACCGCCCGTAGGATATTATATAATATACCAGCTTGTGTTCAAAACTCTGCAATGCTCTTCTTCATCGTTTTCACCCATCTATTTGGCCTTCTTGATCTTGTCTTCCACTCTTACACCAATTCCAACCCACCTTGCCCGGTGTCCGCCCTCGCCATGCCAAACGGCAGGGGCCGTAGAGGGGATGCTAAGGGCGTCCGCTCCTCGTGGTCCCACTTGAAAAAGCAAGGGGCGCGGTTTTGTCGTCGACCGAAGAATCATGGATTGACCATTTCCTTTGGATCCACATACCTTGTATATCTCATTGCCAGGAACAGTGGATGATGATGATGATGAGGTTTCAGGCCTTTCTCTAAATCATCATAAGACCTTTAAAACCGACTGCCTAGCCAGGTTCCGTGAGTTCCCTGGGACAGACCCAACACATACCAGGGCCCCTCCTTTTTGAGGAGCTTTGCAGGTGTTTTCACCTGCCACCGGGGCTTCCGGGTCAGGGACCCCAATGGTGGACCAAGCGACGCGGAAGCTCCAGGCGGGATCGGCCGGGGCGGGTAGAGGGTGCCGGGCCGCGGTGGTGAACACGTCGCATAGAGCGTTCAACAAGCTCCAGGTCAAACATGGAACAAAACACACACACACACACACTCTGACATTGGTTTTCAGTTACACTCAGTTCCCACGTTGAGAAGGAAGGCGATGGAACTGCATGGTGAAAGGTCCAAAGACTTGAAGGTGTTTTAACATTGAGGTT